CCCTGATCACCGAGGACGGGAGGGGCCGCACAGACACTCCCCTGGACCACCGGGGGCTTGGCTGCTGGGCTACAGTCCTTTATCAGATACATGGTTTGCAAACAACTTGGGCCACTTTGGATGGTGGATTATCTTATTCCTTGCTTCTTTTATATACAATTGTTTTTCATTTTGAGGAAGTCCAATTCATCTATTTTGTCTTTTGTTGCTTGTGCTCTTGGTAGATCTAAGAAATCATGACCAAATCCAAGGTCATGTAGATTTACTCTCATGTTTTCTTCTACGAGTTTTATAATTTTCGTTCTTGCATCTAGGCCTTTGGTCCATTTTGTGTTGATTTTGTATATGGGGTCGGGGGAGGTAAGGGTCCAACTTTACTCTTCTGCATGTGGGTATCCAGTTGTTCCAGAACCTGTGCTCACTGTTTGGGCAAAAATACCTGCAAATGATGCGACCAACAAGGGCTTAATTCTAAAATATACAAACAGCTCATACAACTCAAAAAAGAAAAAAAATCAAAAAATAGGCAGAAGGTCTAAACAGACATTTCTCCGAAGACATACAGATGGCCAAGAGGCACCTGAAAAGACGCTCCACATCGCTAATTATTAGAGAATGCAAGTCAAAACTACAGCGAGTTATCACCTCGTAGTGGTCAGAATGGCCATCATTAAAATGTCTAGAAATAAATGCTGGAAGGGGTGTGGAGAAAAGGGAACCCTCCTACACTATTGGTGGGAATGTAAATTGATGCAGCCAATATGGAAAACAGTATGAAGGTTCCTCAAAAACTAAAAACAGAACTACCATATGAACCAGCAATCCCACTCCTGGGCACATATCCAGACAAAACTATAATTTGAAAAGATACATGCACCCCAGCATTCACAGCAGCAGTATTCACAATAGCCAACACATGGAAGCAACCTGAATGTCCCTCAATAGATGAATGGATATAGAAGATGTGGTACATATATACAATGGAATATTATTCAGCCATAAAACAGAATGAAATAATACCATTTGCAGCTACATGGATGGACCTAGAGATTATCATACTAAGTGAAGTAAGTCAGACAGAGAACGACAAATACCATATGATATCACTTATATGTGGATTATAAAATGAGGCCCAAATGAACCTACCTACAGAACAAAAACAGACTCACAAATATAGAAAACAGACTTGCGGTTGTCAAGGGGAAGACAGGGGAGAGGGATGGATTGGGAGTTTGGGATTAGTAGATGCAAATTATTATATATAGGATGGATAAACAAGGTCTTACTGTACAGCACAGGGAACTGTATTCAATACCCTGTAATAAACCATAATGGAAAATAATATGAAAAATATGTATATATGAATCACTTTGCTGTACAGTAGAAAGTAACACAACATTGTTGGTCAACTATACTTCAGTATCAATTAGTTTGAAGGCACTTTTATAAATTAGGCCTTATTTCTCTTGTCCTTTCATCCTGGGACAAATGTATAACAGAAACTAACCTGGATTACTCCGGGATGAACTCATATCACACAGAATAATTGTTGAACAAACCATGAATACCAGTTACACGATGGGACGTCCTGATCCAATATGAAGTTTGTAAACCTTGCATCAAGCCTGCAGAATCCACTAAATTTGGAAATTCAAACTGAAATGGAGCCACCTGTCCCATGACTTCTCCACAACTAGTTATACAACATCAACTGGAAACCATATACAATCAAATGAATGTAGACAGAAACAACTATAGTCTTTCTTTTTTTTCCTTTTAGATGAAGACGGCATTTAAGGTGATGTCTTGGGCCATTTCAGGGTGTTACTCAATTTCCTGGGTATCTGCCATGCACACAGGAGGTACACATGTTAGTTAACTTGTTTGTGCAACTATATGAAGGTAGTTAATACCACAAAACTGTATACGTAAAGTGAATTAAATGCTAAAGTCGTGTTTTGTATTTTTAATGACAATGAAAAAGAAGTGCAGCGCTGATATTTGTTACAAAAATGAACATTAAAAACATTCTTAGTGAAAAAAGCCATACAGAAAAGGCCACCTAGATCCCATATTCATCTTGTCTGCTTCAGATCCATCACGGCTGTCCAAATGAGGGGGAAACTCAGGAATGGGTCCAGAAAAAGAAAACTGGATCAGGATGGAAAAAGACATTTTCATACAATTGGGACAGCAGGTGAAAGTTGAAGTGGGGCTGAGTATTAAATTATAATGTGGACATCAGGATTTCTTCATTTAGGGGTTATGTGCTGGTTCCTTAGGCAAAACACACTGAGCATTTTGTGTGAAGTGGCAAATGTGAGTACTTTTTACCATTATTGCAACTTTTCTGTACATTTAAAATTACTGGAAAGTAAATTACTTTTCTAGACAACCATGTCAGTATCATGCCAGAAAATCAGATAAGACAGACATCAAATTTTGTTATAGAGGCCAAGACTTACCCAGACCACGTTCAACCAAAGTTGTGATACTTATTTCCCTTGTAGGAGTCCACATGGTATTAAGAGGCACCATGGGAAGAGTATATTAGTAGCTACCATCTCTTGGGTCCTGTGGATTACCTGGGGTGCAGTAGAAACTGTGAGATTTTGGTATTGCAATTTTTCACATTACTTCAAAAATATGTTAAAAAATAAATTCAGTAAAGTTGCAAAATATGGAATCAATATACACAAATCAGTTTTGTTTCCATACACTAATAATGAACCACCAGCAAGAAAAATTAAGAAAACAATCCCATTTACAATTCCATCAAAAAGAACGAACTATTTAGCAATAAATTTAACCAAGGACATGAAAGACCTATACTCAGAAAACTATAAAGCATTGATAAAGAAACTGAAGAAACAATAGAAAACAATATTCCATGCTCATGCATCAGAAAAATTACTATTATTTAAATGTTTGGGAGAGTGGGAAGATGGCGGAAGAGTAAGACGCGGAGATCATCTTCCTCCCCACAGACACACCAGAAATACATCTACACGTGGAACAACTCCTACAGAACACCTACTGAACGCTGGCAGAAGACCTCAGACCTCCCAAAAGGCAAGAAAGTCCCCATGTACCTGGGTAGGGCAAAAGCAAAAAGAATAAACAGAGACTAAAGAATAGGGATGGGACCTGCACCAGTGGGAGGGAGCCGTGAAGGAGGAAAGGTTTCCATACACTAGAAGCCCCTTCGCGGGTGGAGACTGCGGGGGACGGAGGGGGAAAGCTTCGGGGCCGCAGAGGAGAGCACGGCAACAGGGGTGCAGAGGGCAAAGCAGAGAGGTTCCCACACAGAGGATCGGCACCGACTGGCACTCACCAGCCCAAGAGGCATGTATGCTCCCCCACCGGGTCAGGCAGGGCTGGGAGCCGAGGCTCAGGCTTCGGTTGGAGCGCTGGGAGAGGACTGGGATTGGCGGCGTGAACACAGCCTGCAGGGGGTTAGTGCACCACGGCTAGCCGGGAGGGAGTCCGGGGAAAAGTCTGGACCTGCCGAAGAGGCAAGAGACTTTTTCTTACCTCTTTGTTACCTGGTGCGCGAGGAGAGGGGATTAAGAGTGCTGCTTAAAGGAGCTCCAGAGACAGGCGCGAGCCGCGGCTAACAGCGCGGACCCCAGAGACGGACAGGAGACACTAAGGCTGCTGCTGCCGCCACCAAGAAGCCTGTGTGCGAGCACAGGTCACTATCCACACCCCCCTTACAGTGAGCCTGTGCAGCCCGCCACTGCCAGGGTCCCAGGATCCAGGGACAACTTCCCCGGGAGAACACACAGCGTGCCTCAGGCTGGTGCAAAGTCACAGCGGCGCAACGTCACAACGGCCTCTGCTGCCACAGGCCCGCCCTGCACTCAGGGCCCCTCCCTCCCCCCCCAGCCTGAGTGAGCCACAGCCCCCGAATCAGTGGCTCCTTTAACCCCGTCCTGTCTGAGCAGGAAAAGACGCCCTCCAGTGACCAACACGCAGAGGTGGGGCCATATCCAAAGCTGAGCCCCGGGAGCTGTGTGAACAAAGAAAAGGAAATCTCTCCCAGCAGCCTCAGAAGCAGTGGATTAAAGCTCCACGATCAACTTGATGTTCCCTGCATCTGTGGAATACATGAATAGACAGCGAATCATCCCAAATTGAGGAGGTGGACATTGAGAGAAAGATTTATGATTTTTCCCCCTCTTCCTCTTTTTGTGAGTGTGTATGTGTATGCTTCTGTGTGAGATTCTATCTGTATAGCTTTGCTTCCACCATTTGTCCTATGGTCCTATCCGTCCTTTTTTGTTTGTTTGTATTTTCTACTTTTTAAAACATTTTTTCTTAATAATTATTTTTTATTTTATTTTACCTTACTTTATTTTATTTTATATTGTCCTATTTCTTTCTTTCTTTCTTTCTACTTTCTCTCCCTTTTATTCTGAGCCATGTGGATGAAAGGCTCTTGATGCTGCAGCCAGGAGTCAGTGCTGTGCCTCTGAGGTGGGAGAGCCAACTTCAGGACACTGGTCCACAAGAGACCTCCCAGCTCCACGTAATATCAAACGACAAAAACCTCCCAGAGATCTACATCTCAACACCAACACCCAGCTTCACTCAACAACCAGCAAGCTACAGTGCTGGACACCATATGCCAAACAACTAGCAAGACAGGAACACAACCCCACCCATTAGCAGAGAGGCTGCCTAAAATCATAATAAGTCCAC